TAGATATAAATACATAACACATGGCTGTTATATATACATAGCATATTATATAGATATAAATACTTAACATAAGTCTGAATACATATGCAAATGAATGAAACAATTATTAACTTTTCCTTAACTATTTCAAAGATTTCTTTGTAATTTTAAAAGAAAAAGTGTAAAGATAAAAGTCCAAAGTGTATCAACAAGATTTAAATAAGTACTAGTTTTATTTTATGGTATTTTTACTATAATGGATTTTTTGATTTTGAAAGTTTATAACACTAATAGAATTTTTTTTTCTAAGGTCTATTATAACACAAGTTCTGGGTGAGCTCCAGTTCAACTTTTATCATCGCTGGTTTGATGTGATATTTTTGGTTAGTGCGTTATCAAGCATTGGGTTTTTGTACTTGGCACACAAGCAGGTTCCTGAAAGAGATCCATTTTAAAGTTAGAGAAATTATTTAGGTTGCAGCATTATTGTGTCTTTAAAAGCTTTCTTCAAAGGAAAAATCCATATATTAAAGAAATTACAGTGCTTCAAAATATCATCAAAAGTGATATTTTGGGGTATGTTCGGGAAATGGGAGCAAGCACGTTATTTGTATGTGTATATATGAATAAAATATATTTCTCTCTCTCCAATTTGTTGTCTTTCATGATGATGCAGTAATAATTCCAGTATAAGGAATGAATAAAACACCTTTCACACGTTACTACTCTTCATTGTGTCACAGTTGTATTTTTATAATTTTTGTGAATACTGAGTAGCAAGTAGTTTGTCAGAGCTGACGTACGTATTGTTTGTACAAAATTTTGCAATATCAGTGTAGAAAAGGTGATCACGATCTCATGGAAGTGTACAAAGATGGCTTAAAAAAACCAGTGATATAGACAAGTCTTTATATTACCCAGGTTTCACAATGGCATGCTCACGTAGCAGACAGCACTGTTTGAGTCCATGTAAAAGAAATATAACAGTATTTAATTAATCAAAACAACAGTATTTTATAAACAATCAGCTCTACAAATGGGGGAAAATTTAATCTTACAAACTAAATGATATTTCGACGACGAGGAACCCACTTTGAGACTAATAATGGTTGGAGACGGGTTGAATGGGTAATGAAGAAAAACTTTAATATAAGTTTAACATAACAGCAAATGTACAACGTTCCATTCAAGCTGTCTTCAACCATTATAAATGATATTTATTTGTTTCTCCTCTGTAAACCACCCCTACTGCAGTAAACTAAGTTTTAATGTGCTTCAATTTCTTTATCATCAATCACTTGTTAAAAAGTACTATATTAATCTTACAAGTAAGCCCAACTGAATGAGAATTTATTAAAACTTGTATGATCATATAAAGTAGTAAAATCCTTCATATTGATGCCAGTAAGAATATCAAGTAATTTTATGCAATTCTTGTGTTTTTTTTTATCTGATAACTATAATTATCTGTATTTTCATCTAGTAAGCTTCTCAAAAATTTACCTTTTCAGTCATACTTTCCAGTGAAGCTTGTGGTTAATTTTATACTGTGTGAATATACATATCATCTACGTTATTGTAACTACATAAACTAACACTATTTACTTTGAAGACACGTGCATAACGTGGTGGTTTGGATAACATTCACAAACAGGAAAGTCACAGTGGAGCATGCTACCACTGTTGCCCATTAAAACAGACTAGAATCCTATTACACACTATTGACCAAACTCAGAAGCTGTAAAGTTTCAATAAAAGCTAAAAAGAAGTGGTTTCCACGTTAAGATATACCAACAGAACCTCCATGATAAACAAGAAAACTCCTCCAACAGTAATTTTTTTAAAAACCTTAAAGCTATCTTTTTTCTTCTTGCTACACACAGCTTTTCAAATGCACATTTGTATCAACTTTCTTGACTACGTGTTCCACAGTTCAGTATTCTACAATGGCTCGATCTTCCACAGTTCAGTACTCTAATACCGTTCGATCTTCCACAGTTCAGTACTCTGCCATGGCTCGTTCTTCCACAGTTCAGTACTCTAATACCGTTCGATCTTCCAGACTTCAGTACTCTGCCATGGCTCGTTCTTCCAGAGTTCAGTACTCTACAATGGCTCGATCTTCCACAGTTCAGTACTCTGCCACGACTTGACCATCCAGAATTCAGTACTCCGTCATGGCTCGATCTTCCAGAGTACAGTACTCCGTCATGGCTCGATCTTCCAGAGTACAGTACTCCGTCATGGCTCGATCTTCCAGAATACAGTACTCTGCCATGACTCGATCATCCAGAATTCAGTATTCTGCCATGACTCTATCATCCAGAATTCAGTCCTCTGCCATGGCTCGATCTTCCACAGTTCGATCTTCCAGACTTCAGTACTCTGCCACTGCTGGATCTTCCACAGTTCAGTATTCTTTCACAGTTCGATCTTACACACTTCAGTATTCTACCACGGCTCAATCTTCCAGAATTCAGTACTCTACCACAGCTCGATCTTCCACAGTTCAATCTTCCAGACTTCAGTACCGTATCACGGCTCAATCTTCCACTGTTCAGTACTATTTCACAGTTAGATCTTCCAGACTTCAGTACTCTGCCACTGCTGGATCTTCCACAGTTCAGTATTCTTTCACAGTTCGATCTTCCAGACTTCAGTACTCTACCACAACTCGATCTTCCAGACTTCAGTGCTCTACCACAGCTCGATCTTCCAGACTTCAGTACTGTACCACGGCTCAATCTTCCACAGTTCAGTACTATTTCACAGTTCAGTCTTCCAGAATTCAGTGCTCTGCCATGGCTCGATCTTCCAGACTTCAGTACTGTACCACGGCTCAATCTTCCACAGTTCAGTACTATTTCACAG